CATACTTGCTTAAGCAGCAGTTAAAAACAGAAACTTATAAGACTTCAATGTATTTCGTATGTTAAATTACATGAAATTTATGCAAGATATATATATCAAACAAGCAAATTATCACTAGTATAACTTTTTTTTAATCTTTGAGCTTTTTTATCATCAATAAGTTTTGCTACCTCAACAGGGTCCAATCCTTGCCAATCCGTGTGGTTTACCAACGGAAGAGGACGCCCATCTGCCCAAGGAGATTTAGTAATTATATACTGTTTTTTTCGTTTTTTTGGTAACATAATGGTAGGTGGGTTTTTATTTTCGGAGGTATCAGGAACAGAATTTGATAAATGCGTTGGTTCGGTACTTTCTTTCATGATAGGTATCTTGGTTAAAAGCTTCTGATATAATCGCCGTATAAAGCGAGGCCTCGGGTTATGAGGTCTGGCGGAACGATATGGTCCTTCTTTCATAGGATCACGCGGACTTTTTGGCACTCCTGTATCTCTATGAATTCTCAATCTGTTTGGCTCATCATTAATATGATTTCTTGATGATATATGTCTATTTGCAACACCTTGTCCTGTCAAAGTACCTTTGCCGGCATTGATTTCTAATTGATCTAATGTGACATCGTCCACAGGTGGCATAACAGTTTTCATGATTTTAGAATAATGTCTCCACAATAGGTTTGCTTTTCGTGATGGGTATAAAGGTTTATGTTTTGGTACTGGTAGCGTAGGATATAGATTTTTCGTTTGTGATGACAATAATGTTTGAAGTGATGGCGACATTCGTGGTGGGGCAGTTCTTGGAAATCCCCGAACAATGGGCTTGGGAGCCTCGCTCGGTTCATTTATAATGGGCTATTGTTGATGAGATCCAATCATTTCTCCGACAAACACTTTTCGATAACCATTTTCTGACAACCGTTTTCCGACAATCACTTTCCAGACAATTATTTCATCAATAATAACTCCCACAATATTTTCGTTTCCCAAGCCAGAAAAATATTTGTTTCGGGGAAGTGATTGTTGGGAAAATGGTTGTTAGGGAAATGTTTGTTTCGGGAAATGATTGGGACGTTGTTGATGTTAAATAATAAAGTCTTCCAATAATATCGCATCAAATATAAATCTCAAACCTTAAGCAATTGATGTCTCATAGGTCCCCTCCTTCCATATGTCAACTCCAAAACGCGAGTAACAGATTTGATATCAAATACATTAGCTCTCTTCAGCCTGTTTAGCGCCTAACAATTAATAAAAATTTCAAGATAGAGCCGCATTTAATCGACGTATATAAAGCGTTCTACTTAAGACGTTTAGTAAAAAAAATATTCCACCTGACGAGCATCAGCTAATTTATTTAAAATCCTAGTTTCGTCAGTTTCGTCCTTATATTCTTTAAATCTGTACAGATGCAGAAGAGCCACACATAAATTGTCAATTTATGCAAATTGTATACCTTAAATTATAACGA